CTAAAACTTCCTTCTAACAAGGCAGAGATGATAAAACTCTCTAAGATCTGAGGTCTTCAAATTCCATGCTTCTTAACTAAGTATTACATATTATGATTAAATGCAAAAACCAGTTAGCTCCTGGAGGATAGGGATACATGAAAAAAATTTTTTTTTTGATATTGTGTTGGACAGTTTAGGGAGCAACTAGGTATCTTGGGATAAGAAACAAAACAACAGACACACAGAACAATTGAGGTCTTGCCCTTATACGAATCCTGTACAGTATTGGTGTTCCTACCCTTGGTCAGGTTCTCACTCCCCCGATTGGTCACCCAGCAGCTCACTAAAAGGGCCCAATTTTGTGCTTATTAAGATAGGCAAAACAGCCAGACCTGCCCTGTCCGCCTCCCCCACCCCAGTGTCTTCAGGCTGCTATAAATGCAGCTCTCAAAGCTAATCTCCAGTGTTTGTGAGTCATTTCCTAAGTGATGAACACACAGCCAGCTGTGTGGAAACATACCGTGTTATCTTAAGTCCAAGATGCTGCTGAATCGGACCTCTGATCGTCTGTGCTTCCAGAAGACCAGCATCAGCAACAGTCCCCAGGACCAGAAGCATGGGGCTTGACGCTCACTTTAGAGTGATGCCACCACTGGCGGGTCCCAGCAGCTGGCTGGAAACCAGGCCTCACTCAAAGCTTCCCGATCTCTAGGCTACACTGGACCTGTGACATTGAATCAGCTTCTAATGCTCCAAATACTGACCCTTCAGCTGCGGGGCTGCCGGAAACCCAACATGGTGACCTACCGCTGTAAGCCAACTGTCACCCTCTGTGCTTTATAATTATGACCAGTTTCTGTGACTTCTTGAAGGCGATTAAGTTGGGAAATCTTGCATAAGAGCTGGGTTCTCCAACGTTTTTGGCTCAGGAAACCTTAATACACTTAAAAATTATTAGGACCCCAAAGAGTTTTCATTTATGTAGGTTATATCTAGCGGTGTGCTGGAGTCAGATTGTACCAGCTCACGAGAATTCAACATTCAGGAATTTTCCAAGCCAACTGTTAAACCAGTGGAAGCTTGAAATTGGCAACAGAGGGAGTATTCACACCAGGGAAATTGGCAAATGCTACAAATCAGGGCTTTTTCCTTTTTCTGGAGATCGGGTTTAGCAGCAAACCACTGATTTTTTTTTTTTCCCCCAAAGCCCCAGTAGATAGTTGTATGTCATAGCTGCACATCCTTCTAGTTGCTGTATGTGGGACGCGGCCTCAGCATGGCAGGAGACTAAACCACGGGGCCGGCCCAAAAACCACTGATTATTATCTACCAATATTTACCATATTAGACATTAAAGTGGAGAGCTTTTGAAAATATTTTTCACCTAAAAATAATAAACCCATTACATGTTAACATAAATACCACATTTTTCACAAAAATATTTTTTTTCCCAAAACAATGACTTAATGAGTCGAGTTGCCTTTATATTTTTGCAAATCTCTTTAACGGTTGGCTTAATAGAAGTCAGATTTTCACATCTGTTTCTATGTTCAATCTGTCACGTAGCCTCTGGAAAACTCAACTGTATACTTGTAAGAGAATCAGACCAAAAAAAGGTAATGTCTTAGTGTTTTAAGATAGCTGTGACCTCATATATCTCCTGAAAGGGTCTCAGGGACTCAGAATCATTGCATTGGAGCATTTCTCTTCTATGTTCTGATTGCAGCTTACGTAACGGCCCCTCCTTCATGAAACACAGCTGGGTTAGCCTATGCTCCATTCCTCTCCATGCACATTTGGTCTAGTAATTTTGAAAGGAATAGCCACACAGCTATGCCAGTTCTGCCAGGAAATTACTGTTGGTGACCGTCTTCCCCTGAATTTTCACTATGGCACCTAGGTGAAGACAGGCTACTAGTGGAAGGTCCAGGCCTCAGAGACTTAAAAAGCTTGGTCATAAACACAGCTTAACTTTTTCCATTTGCCCTTAGAGCTCAAGACTTCCTGAAGGACATGACGACATTTTTCTTAATTTCTTAAATTCAGAAGTATAACCTAAAATTTTCCATGTGTGTATTCAACAGCCAAGTATACCATTTCCTTAAAAATCCTATTTTTGACTCTGTGGAAAAAACAAACATTTTTGTGTTAAGAAAATACAAGTGTGTTTTTTGAATTCAAACATATTTTGAAAAATAACTAGAAGAGTTTCTAGGTCACTTTTTGGGCAGAGTGGGGATCCTATTTCTGGTGGCCATGAACGGGGCTGACTTCATTCAATACGTCCATTCCTGAAACACCTGTGGAGAGTCTAGGCCTCAGAAACTTAACCTTGAGTGTTAACTTAAAACTGCTGTGTGTTAACGGAATTCTGGCTTGGTTGAAATGATTTTTCTGTTGACTATGAACCTAGAAATATGCTATCAGAACTTTTTATTGATTTTCAGCTCTCAGAGGTACTTGTCATTTTGCTTTTAATCCCTCTCCTGCCCTCTACCCCAGAAGTGTTAGCTGGCAAAGGACTGTCACTCAAGGGCAGCCCTTCTTCGGGTTTCAGGATATCCTCCCGGCTCTGACATTTGTTTCTCTCTTCACTAGGACAAACTGCAGACTCTATCCACGATGCCTGTAACCCAGGAATCTGAACATATTCTCAATGACATAACCTCGAATTTCCCTAAGAAGGGATTAAAAAAAAAAGACACAGAAAGCTAACCACCCAATGCCTTTGGTCGGAATTGTGTTTCTTCTCCTCCATTTGTTCTTCCTCCAGATGCATCCTCGAGGCCCTGACACGCCGACCTTCATGGACTACGTCACCCAGGCTGTCCTGAGATCTGGGGTTAAGCTCAGGAGCAATGGGAGGCCCCAGCAAGAGATCAGTGTGTTCCCTCGTCTGCCACTTGGGCCTGGGGCGTGATAGCTTCCCCTAATTGCTGGTCCCTGGGTGCCTCACTCTCCCCTGCTGGTCCCCTCAGCCCTGTCCACACCTCTGCAAATTGCCTCTTCATTAAAGGCTCTTCAGCTAAACCCTAAGACTGGCCTTCCTGCCAAGGCCTTGAAAGATAGAATAAAAATTTATTCCAAACAGATACCAAGCAAACGTTCATGTTTATTAATATAGGTTACATAAAATTTTTAAAAAAGAATACATAAAAACAGTGACATAATGTTTTATAAGTACAGATTGATAATATACTAATGACAGTAATATTAAGTCAGAGGTATTTTAATACAGACAGACTGAATAAACAATGATGGGAAATCTCCACTGAGATGGATAAAATGCATAGAGTAACTAAATTAATAAAATCAACTCTAGCTTCTACTTACAATACATACCTTTATGTAAATTATTCTGTGGCATTTGGAAATAGTTTGCTCTTCTAAATAGGTAAGCATTTGCCTTGCAACTTTCCACTTTTCTTGTTTGTTTAAAATGCCTACATCTTTTCATAAGGAAAAAAGATACATTTCAACCTCATTTTCAAATTATTTTGTCAAATCCATGAGGATTTTCTGTACTTGATACTCATCAAGGGGTTAAAAAATGCTTTTAAAATCATCTCAATCAAAATAAGACAAGTGAATGGAAAAATATAGAATAATTTTCCTAGATTTCAAAGTCAATTTCATTTTCTTCTGTTATTTCTAATCAGACTGACATAATTGATTCTTTTTAAAAAACCTGATTTATTTATTGAAAGCATTTATAAATAGTGTCCAATTAATGTAGACTGAAGGACTTATTTTAAAAAATACACCGTATTGTATTATGCTTTCATCTCAAGTTATAACCACAGGAAGCAGTAACCCAGATGTTCAAAGTTCTTCAACTGACAGGCCTTGCTTGTGTGAGACTCGCTTGGTGACTTCTCGCTCAAAACACTTCTTCATACAATGACACATTTATTATACACATATCACACTCTATGCATCCGTCTACCTTGTTCTTCTTGAGGGCAGGTCTCGGTCTTACTCAACTCTCTAAGCCCAGAGCACACAATGGGTGTTCACGTTTGCTCACGGGTGTTTCCATCTGACAATGGTCCTTGCAGGGCACTGCTAGAAGTGAATGAGCCTTCTTTCTCCATTCTTAAAACGGGCAGAGAAGTCTTTTATATTCACTATCTCCTGGGATAGCACAGTCAACTTGGCCAATTTCTTTTTTTTTTGCTTGAGGAAGATTTGCCCTGAGCTAACGTCTGTGCCAATCTTACTCTATTTTGTATATGGGTCATCAGCACAGCATGGCCGCTGACAAGTGGTGTAGGTCCACGCCTGGGAACTGAACCTGGGCCGCCAAAGTGGAGCACGCTGAACCACTAGGCCACGGGGCCTGCCCTGGCCAATTTCTAATAAACATGATCAGTTCAGAGCCCACACTTGAGGGAACCCCAGGAGGAGAGAGCAAATGTGGGGTCCTGCCCCTCTGCTCTCTGGGAGGCTCAGATGGAGGGCTTCTGGCCAATCCGTGTCTGAAACGGCCCTGCCTGTATCTACCGCTGGGAGTCCTCCATCCGGGGGTGGGGTACTTTGAAAGCCAACCTAAGGTCACTAGTGGGACCTATGCTCCCATTTGGTTTACATGTACAGAGTGTAAACCATCAAAAATGCTACCCATATCATCTATTTTCATAATTTAAAGAGTTCAAAATTTGATATGTTTAAAATGAAAAACAGTAGAACTTTTTCTACACACAGAATACTAAGTCTTATCCCTCAATAACTTAAACACTGCTGCTGAACAATTTCAAAATACACTTATTTGCAAAAGCTGTAAGTCCAAGCTATAGAATCCCTCACTATTGATGGACAGCTCCAGATGTTCAGGGCTAAATTCCACCAACCTAAACTCTGCATATTAAATCAGAGAAGCAGAGTTTATTTCCATAATCTCTAAGGGAAAAAAAAAGGAGGGTTTCAAAGTGTCTATTCTATACTGCACTGCAGATGACAAAAGTGTGTGTGTACACAGACATATACACACACAAAACACGACATATGTCACCTAAATACATCAAAAAGTGACATCCAGTTATTACTGTAGCATTGGTAACACTCTCTTGGAACAATGCTGTTTTCTATTCCTGTTATCTTTTCCTGTAATGAACAAATATGTATGCTTAAGGGTCTTGTAAGAAGGAGGCATGCAAATCATACATTTCTTGTTTTAGATGGTAAAGTAAATACTTTTTTGGCAATGACTAACAGAATCCTCAGGTTACATGCTTTTGTAACCTTTTCTTTTTAACTCACCGGCAGTCCCTTTTCCTAAGTTAACAGCTTTTTGTATATGCTGTTGCTCAGATTACTAGAGCAGGTATCCATTTTACTTGCCATCAACTGACCGCTGCTGTTATAACTGCTGGGGTCAGAACTTTCTTTGCAGCATAAGATACTGTAGAGGTGCCTCTGGCACTCAGAGGAAGCGTAATAGTAGATCAAGGGATCAAGGCAACAGCTTATGCTGCTGACACAGACACAGAGGAGGTAAGCGAAGTAGGCGGCCTCTGTCGTGGAATCCGGAGAAAGGAACGAGTAGTGCACAATCAGGAGGACGTTTGTGGGTCCGAAGCAAATGATGAAGATGCAGAAAACAGCAGCCGACAAGAACAGAGCCCGGGACTTCTTGCTGCGGTTGGCGACTGCGGAAGAGCTAAGACATCGAATGATAGACACGTAACAGACTGTGGAAACGACCAACGGCACAAAAAAGAAGACGGCAGAGAAGGCAGAGAAGTAATAGGCATAATAGCCTTCGAGCAGGGTCTGGTTGAGCACGTCATGACAGGTGGTTATGTTGAGCCCCGGGACCCGGGTGGTCTGCTCCTGCAGGAGGAGAGGCACCACCCCCGCGATGGCCAGAGCCCAGATGGCCAGACACGTGACGGACGCCCTTCCCAGCGTACGCCAGGAGAGGGACCGGATGGGGTACACCACTGCCAGAAACCGGTCGATGCTGATGACTGTCATGAGCATGATGGAGGCATACATGTTACAGTAAAAGGCGGCCGTGACGAAGCGACACATTTCAGATCCAAATTTCCAATCGCTCCCGGAAAAGTAATAGCTGACCTTAAACGGGAGCACAGACACAAAGAGCACGTCCGCCGTGGCCAGGTGTAACATGTACACCACGGCAGGCTTCTTGACCTTCATCTTCAGGATGAACACGACGATGGCCATGATGTTGAGAGGCAGGCTTACCACAAACACGCCAGTGTAGACGGAGGGGATAAAGAGGGTCATCCAGGTGCTTGTCAGGTATCCCGAGGCATCTTTGGAGACGAACCCCGGGGGCGGTTTTTGAAGAGCACTGCTTTTGTCGATGGAGCTGAACCTGTCTTCAGTTAACCCGCTTTCGTTTTTCTCCTCGGACTCCCCCGACAGTGGGAACGGTTCAAACTGATCATGGGAATTCCTGAGGAAAAAGGACCGGGGGTCCACAGTAGCATTGGTTGCTCTTGACCCTGAAAAATAAAAGAAAATGAATGGAAAAGGCAAAAGAGACCAGCAGAGAGTACCTGTTACGTTTGCTTTGTTTTCCTGCAGGAGCGTGGGGGAGAACAGCAGGTGGGGCACAAATGGATTCCGACGTCGTCAGGGGATTAGCTAGCTCCAAATTGGCTATAAGGTGTTGTTTCGGCACCAGCAAACACCTTCAGAACTCTGCTCCTTGGAGGGACAGAAGCGAACAACACACTTCCAGAGATGCAGCGTGCAGACGTCGGCGAAGGCTGAGTACCTGACACGAAGGGAAGAAGCAGAGATTTCTCCTCTACAGCAGCCGCCGTCTACACACACAAACCACTCCCAGGCCACAAGACCTCTTTCCTCCACCTGCCTTCACATGTGCATTTTCTCCATTTAGTTGGCAGCCACCCCTTGAAACCCATCCCTCCCAATGGAAAAGTCCACAGAAAGTTGAGGGGACTTCGTAACGTGACGGAGCTAGCCGCAAATTCACGGTAGGGCCAAGGGCTCCCGTTCCCACGACCGTTACCCACGTGACGGTAGTCTTCCTCCACTGTCTTTAGTTTGTTTACACAGTAGAATGTCCCAAATCTCTCATCATATTCGGGTCCAAACCACAGTCCCTCGGGTTATCTTCTAATATAACCCAAGGCACCCACCACCTCATGCATCTTGCCTTCTCACTTCTCGGCAGGTCAGTGGAGCAGCATTCTAGGCTGATGGCCCTCCTCAGCTCAGTTCCAGAATGCCATGTGCGTCAAGGCAGACACCAGGCAAACCAGGCTATTTTGAGTATCAAGCAGAAGTCCAAATAAAGGCTCAGCTGTAAACTTCCTCCTTTTACCACCCTCTTCCATCCCAAACACCCATTTGAAATGTTCATCAAAGAAATGCAACCCTCAGCCGCTGGAATTCGACCAGCTTTTCCTTCCAAGGAGCTTTGCTCAAGTTCTGCCATTGAGGAGACTTGGACAAAGAGCCTTTGTTGGGCCTTGGTAAGCTGAGGAGCGGGAAGAGGAAGCTCAGAGGAAGAAGGGCGAGGTCTCCATCGCTGGGCGTGTTCACGACGGAGGCTGGACACACAGATCGCTCAGAAGTGATGTGAGAGGATTTAAAACCGGGCTGGAGATTGGATGCGTATAGTGGATTGTCAAAGCTTTGGTCTTATTTCTCGGTAGTGGAACCTTCCTGCAAACAAAAACTTACACAGAGAAGCATAACGCAACCAAAGAGAGAGTTCTGCCTCTGGCACCGCTCTGTAAGGCCCTACCAGACCCAACCATCCCTTAGAGAAAAATTACAAACTCTGCACCCCCTTCACCCCCCAAATCAATCACCTGAGGGCATTTAGGTCCACAGGATGCTGCTGGGGAGGGGAGGGATGAATCTTGAAAGCAAGGATGGCACCCGGTGAGTTCCTTGTTTTCAGTGGCTTTTAGCTTGAGAGAAGGCCAAAGTCAGTGCCACAAAGGATGGTTAAAACTCAGATAGAAAACGCACACCCTTCTGGCCTGAAGAACCAGAGGACAGAGTTCAGGGCAACCACAGTCACCGGACAGTGAGGAGAGAATCCCAGAAAGGAAAAGTCAGGGAGGGGAGCCCTACATTCCAGTGTAAACTCTGCCCCAGGCTCCGCTGCCTCCCGCACCTGCCCGCACCTGCCCGTGGAGGGAAGACGCAGAGCAGCTCTGCTGAAGATAAGAGGACTGACACGGTATCGTGCTCTCTGCTCAAGAGCTAGAGTTTGCAGTTTGAGTCCAACCAAATTAGTTGCCTGCTAAAGCAAAAACACCAAAATTCTTTGGAGAAATAAAACAAAATCTTGAGTTTTTATAGTATGACAATGTCCAGGATACAATCCAAAATCATTCGCTATAAAAAGAATCAGGAAAGTGTGACCCAGTCTCAAGAAAAAAAAACCATCAATGGAAGCCAATCCCAAGATGACCCAATTAACAGATAAGGATTTTAAAGGATGTGTAGCAACTACGCTCAATGAAGCAAAGGAAAATGTTTCATTGAAATGGATGAAAAAAACAGAAAACATCAGCAAAGAAATCAACCAATGGAAATTCTAGAACTAGAAAATAAAATACAATAAGTTGGCATCTATTTCCAAAATGAACAGCAAAGCTAGAGTGGTACCAACTGAGACAGCAGAACGGGGCCTGGCAGTGAAAGGCTGAGGTCAAATGACCTCAGCAAGGTCATGAGTGGGTTCCCTGAGGGTGAAGGAGTGGCCAGATTTGTCACAGAGAAAGGACAAATGTCTCCAGTGACGAGCTTCTGAGTACACACATAGGTCTAGATTGTTCCTCAAGGGTAAGAAACTATTCCTATCCGTTTCTGAATCTCCAGTACAGTGCCCTGCACATGGTGGTGCTCCTTAAATTGGCTTTTAATCACAGATCTGCTTTCTAATATTGGCTCTGCCAGGAGTCACTTAACCCCTCTGAACTAAGTCTCAGAGTCATTAAAATGGAATTCCAATACCCACCTACAAATCTGGCAGCCAGGAGCATCCCATGTGAAACAGGACATGTGTTCACTTTGTAAACTTTAAAGACTAATCAATGTAAAAAATTATTATTAATTCCTTCCCCTATCACTTCAATGTAGCTTGCTTTTAGACTCAATTATTTGCTCACTCTCAATTATTTTAAATTAAAATGGAATATAGACTCCTCTTCCCTCCTATTTAGCAATGTCTAGTTTTTCACTCTGAGGAGGGACATGCACAGGTTGTAGAGTACACAGCCCCAGGAGCCAGAGCTGTAAATCAAATGTCAAACTCACAGCCTTTCCCAGAAGTATCACTTTCTCCCCTTTGTGATGCATCTAACTTACTCTGTGTGCATCTTGACCCAGCCACGTGCAGGCCTGACATTGGTACTGACAGCCCCGGGGGGATCTGGGGCTACCCTCAAGGTCATAATGAACGTGTGGGAGCTGAAAGAAAACAACGAATGGGTTCTGCCGGTTTAATACCACAAAGACATGTGTCCTTAAAAATGCTGACCCAGAGGAACCTTAAAACACAATTCTCCTCTGCAGTTTTGGGAACGTGGCCAGACTAAGGACTTTTTTTTTTTTTTTTTTTTTGCTGAGTGAGATTAGCCCTGAGCTAACATCTGTGCCAGTCTTTCTCCACTTTCTAGGTTGTTCACCACCACAGCGTGGCTGACGAGTGGTGTAGGTCCGTGCCTGGGATCCAAACCCTTGAACCCAGGCTGCTGAAGCAGAACGCCCTGAACTTAACCACTACGTCACAGGCCCGGCCCCCAGATAAAGACTTTTGTCACGCACGGAGGGGATTCGCACACATAGGAATCAAGACACCACCTAGAAGAATGATACCATTTGAAAACTACTGAATACTCATAAGAAGCTTCTTAGGTCCTATCACTTGGTCTGAAAATAAAACTATCATTAGGCTTTACTCTGTAAATTTCTTCCCTGGCTAGGCCTTCGTGGGCAGTATGGTGTTGATGACAGAAAGATTATACCCATTGAAACGTTACATTTTTATAGGCTGGAGCCCAGGAAGAATGCATAATCTCTTGATTAAATAGCCTTGCCTAAGGTGTCACCTTTTCTTGCCACTATAGGTTTGATATTTTGGCTTTTATGGAATTAAAGAATGTCAGCAAAATTTTTTTAAGTATACACTAGCATCAAAGAAAGAGCAAAACCAATTCCAGGTGGGTAGATATATCCAGCCCACCCAAGCCCGTCAGGCTGAAATTCGAGTCTGAGTATTTCTCTTTCCCTCCAGTCCTCGCACAGCTCAAAGGTCAAGGAGAAGGTGCCTGTCAGCTGCCAAAAGCCCTTGGAACTCATCTGTGTTTCTGTTGTTAAGCTATGGTTTCCCCCAAAAAGCAGCTCAGGTCCTAAACCCAGTTCTCATACTTCTTGCTAAGTTTCCTTAATTTAGGCTCTCTAAGTGGCTCTAGAGTAGTTTTGTTATTGAATAGAGCATATTGCTAAATAGCTTAGCTATGGACTCTCTAACTCAGGAGATTTTTAAAAATTAGTAAGTCGGCAATACCGGCGAGAAAAGTTGGAGACTTTTCTGACTTGGATGAGATCTGGCCTAAAAGCAGAGTGGTGACTGGATGCTTTGTCAAGGTCTCACGAGGTCCAGGGAATTACATCAGGCCAGCCCCCCATGACTCCCCAGCCTCGGTTCTGACTCAGAGCCCTCCCTACAGGGCGCAGACTCTTTAGGAATTAACAGAGCAGAAGTCCCAGGACCTTGCCCACATTCCCACACAGAGCAGGACAGTTGCATCCTGCACTTCTCCATGAGCCACTCAACTACAGGCTAAAGAGAAATAAAGACGAGGATGATGGAAAAATAACAGAAACATACCAACCCCATCCAGTGGAATGCAGCAGCATTACCGGAATGCTCCACTGCCTCAAATGCAAACACACACCGTCTTCCAATCAACAGAACCAACGCTCCTTAAAGAATGGCTTGTTCCAGATGTGGGTGGAAAACACACAAGATGAGCCTCAGACATCTTCAGATACTAGGGTCAGGTCAGAAAGACTCTGGCGTCAATCAGAAGTGGCTCCCACTGGCCAAGGTGCGACAATTGATCATCAAAAGAATAATGAAGGAAATGAACTGAAACACTTAAAACATGTCATACATGTTAAGATCCATGAGTTCATAATGATGCTCAAAGGAAAATAAAACCTTTTTGGTCACCTTTGGAGGAAATCATGGGGCCCAGTCTGAAAATTGGTAAACAAAGACAAGATCCAAGCATTTATCCTGCCTTTTCCATATAAATGATATTTCAGGGAAATGAAGTGTCAACAGAGAAAGTTCTTTATAAAATAGTTCCAGCTCATAGACACAGAAACAATAATCGATTTAGAAATGTATCGTTTTGAAGCTCTGAGTGAAATAATGGCTTTGGTCCAACGATCATCAGCGCTTGGAAAAACCGTTAGGTGAAAGGTTAAAGGGGAACTTCATGACGGC